TATTTGTACAATTTTATAAAATGTTGTTTTCATTAAAAAAAAAAAAATTGGATACATTTCACAATACATAGGTAAATATTAATTTAATAATATTAAAACTGATAAAACATCTTTTTTATGGTTTGAAATATCTCCATAATATTGTGGCAACGTTTTGTTAATATTGATATACATATTTCTGATCTTTGAAACTATTGATCTTTATCTTGGAAACTTTGTTTTGCTTTAAGGTGCTGGTACTCTCTATTGACGAGTAATACATATACATGACGTACACGCCGCGATTGATCAACGGCTTGTGTAATATTTTATGAACAATATTATAGATATTATGTAATACAAGGGATGTACATGGTAGCTGGCCAAAGAGAATAGTGGAAAAAAACTGACTTGTATGTATACGCGTATAAATAAATTATGGGTCGGCGGGTACTACCGCGTTTGAAGGAGATTTTTCAAAGGAATATAAAAAGAAACAGCTCTCAACGTTCGGGCGGGCATTAATAAATAATTGACGACCTCGTGAAATATGCGCGGACCTATGTATGTGTATAGCTGGAGCGCATCGCTGATGTATAAGACACTGAGAATGCTTTATGTCGGGAGTTTTCATTTAAATTTAAAAAAATATATATAACAAGAAGGAAAACTCCATTTCACTTTTTACATGCATAATAGACTATATTACCAGGGCCGAAGAAAGAATCCGTTTCATCTTGGACTTGAACCGCTAATCACGTGTATAACAACTACATTGGGTATACAATCTGTCTGTCAGTACGCTGCATAGTAAATTCTATGTATATACATATATATATTATTGCATAAAAATATAAGTACTTTATAAAATCAGTTTTTTTTTTTTTTGCTGTTTCCCGCAGCCAATCACTCAGCGCATTCGCTGTTATTATAATTTTTATCATGAATATAAATCTCGAGTTATCTTTACTTTGGGTCTAATCAAGGGACCGATGTCGGTTTATTTGGCAAATTAATTTTGGAACTTTTTTACTTCTATAAGTGTTAATTTTCTCTTATGAAAACGAATCATGACAACGTTAATTTTTTGTCCGTGGCTTACGTCTAATATCGTCGGTGTTGGCCGTAAAATTTACCATAGCCCTTTTAGACCCAAGGTCTGATAATAAGTAACCGAATTTCAACGACGGTTCCCATTGCGACAAGTCGTCTCTGATATAATTTATACAATATATTATAACAAGTGCGGCGGAGCGTCCTTTTTTTCTCATTTAAAATCAGGCTGCTCCCTATATATTATTATTATTATTAGTATTATTATTATATAAAAAGGACGGGCGCCGCGGCGCTTTGCCGTTTACGCAAGAAAAAATCTATTAAAAAAATATGCGAAGCCCGTTCAGGAAATGAGTTCTGAGCTCTGGTTCATATTTATTATTGACAGCAAGAACAAAATAAAAACGCTCTTGGTACCGAACTCCGGGAAACGCATTTATAACAAAAGGGTACGGAAAAGCACTCTTAGCAATGGCACTCCTTAACGGAAAAAAAATTCATTTTCGTTGTACACTTTTTTATCCCAGTTTTTTTTTTTGTTTCCTCCGTTGTTGTTGTTTTATCGTTATTTTTTTTTTTTTTTTGTACTTTCTATATACCCTTTACGGGCCACCGAGGGTGAAAATTAATGGAGGTTATTTCCTACGCGAAATCATTCGACACCGTTTTCCAATTCTACCTAATGAAGTAGCTGGGAATCTGATGGTTTTTTTTTTTTTTTTTGTTCATCTTCGTTGCTTTTATTATTATTATTATCATTATTGTTATTTTTTATGTTACCGACGGATTTTCGTTCGTTTATTTTCTTTGACTGATGTCCCCAGATAAAACGTCCGACTCGATAATGTATAGTAAAAACCCGTTGCACGCGAATTATTTTTTCTCCAGCACACGAAACTATAAAGGCGAATAAAACAAAGCAAAAAATGAAATAAAGTAATAATAATAACGACTACCAGTAAAAAAAAAAAACCCTTTGCGAAGTCTTAAATTTCCCCACCCCTTTTTTGCTTTTTTTTCACCGTTATTCTACACTTTTTAAGACCGACTACATTTTATGTACTTTTTTTTTTTTTACCCACCACCACCGCGCGACCCGACACAAACGCCTTAAGTACCGGACCATAAAAATAACGAGCGTCTTTTGCTTTTAATTAAACCGCGCGCGGGGCCGCTAAAAACCACCTTTTCCTTATGGCACAGACCTCGTTGATTAAATTTTTCTACCATACTATATTATTGCTATTGTTTGTACCTCCAGCGTGTATTGTATGTGAAATCGATAAAATTATAAAAAACCAAACAACGCAAAAGCATCTCGGCATTTCTCTCTTTTTCCCTTGTACATAGTACAGAGTTAAAATTTGATAGAAGAATACAATTTTTTTCGATGTCGCAAAAATGACACTTTTGCAACACGTTGGTTACTACGCCACTGTTTTAAAGTGAATTACGCGTTTCACGTTAGACCTCAACCTCATCTTCTTTTGGGTTACAAATGTAAATAAGGTGTTTAAAAGTGATCATTTGCCATGTGTAAAATATCCCCATACCACATTACTTACAACATAAGTATTTAGAAATATTAACGTCGAGGTTTTGTGGGCAATATTATAATTGATTTCGTTTTTTCTCGTGGTTTTTTTCAAAAAAATACAAATAAAACAATTTTTAATGTTACAATTAATCGTTGTCCTGCCAAAATATTATACAAAAATATGGCGACAATATTATTATAAAATAAATTAAAATACATTAAGTGATGTGTTTTTATGAGTTATTATGTAAAAAGTTATGCGCAAAAATTCCACTAATTATCAATTGATTGTTGATTTTGCATATAATATAATATGAGCTTGCAGCATTCAAATGGCTGTGCACGCTTGGATTCTTATCCGCTACGGATGACACCGATGACTATTAGTTACACGGTATTTTTATTACCACGGATCGATATCTCATCTGCATTATGGACCGACCGACATGCGGTATTAAATGGTTTAAACGTGTTCCCGTATGCGATACCATTATAATAATATGTTGTGTTGTATACCGGTTGCCGACCACATTGTGGGATATATTTATTATCATTTCCACCGAATCATCTTTCGTTTGCACCGACCGCGACACCCTGCAGGGGGGACTCCTGGTATTTTTCATAATGTGCATTCGTCGTGGGTCTAACCAGAGATCATTTCCAACATAAAATAACGACCGTTTTTATCACGAGCATCATGTGCGATACGCAGCCGGGTAGGATGTATACTGAAATAGGACACCTCGTATTATATTATGGTATATAATATGATAATCGTATAACGCAGTCCACGACCAATATCCGAATGATTGGGTGGCTAAAGTCAAGTCCGGATCATCAAAAAAGAAAAATAATGCTGGTTAACACGTGTTTCAAATCGAGCAGTCTGCTTACTTATTTTACGGTTATTCGTATATTTATATACTTGTACTTGTACACATACATAGGTATAGTTTGATTGTTGTAGACAATATGTAGTGCCGAATGTCCCATTACCGTGCCTATGGGCTCCACAATCACTCCTTAACACACTAGTCTTATAAAAATATTCATCAACAATCTATGTTTTTATTTTTGTGCAGTATTTTTAAAAATGTATTCACAGTGTGATTACAGTTTGAAACTAAAAATGTTAGAGAGTTAGAAGGCTATCTATAATAATACTAGATGTGTGAAAAATGTCTTCAGTCCCATTCTTGGTTCATCTTGAGTCTAATTGTCAGACTGTGATCCCTAAAACTTCATCTAAAAAAGTGAAATACAGAAAAAGTTTCAACCCTTTCTAATAGAAATGGTTTATGATAGTTTTTTGGTTTTTTAACGTTAATCGACAATACTATGTCTAAAGGATTTTCCATACACACTTGGAACTAGTTCAACTGTTTTGAAAAAAAGTTAAAGAGCGCTGAACTAGAGAAATATGTAATTTTTGTGTGTGTGTGTGTGTTTTTCTATAATTTGAAGGGAAAGAGGTGAACTTTTTAAATTGTTCGGCGCAATAACATACCGGTACGATTTTTGTGATGTATAGACTTGCTACACGAAGAAATCGGTTCAGCCAATTTAAAGATAGAAACTAAATAAAAAGTAAAAACAATACCTTCTCAGATTCGCGTCGAAGCCAACAAATTAATAACCGTTTGGCCGCGCGGTACAGGGGCCGCGGAACAAAGATAAAATATTGGTTAAGACGGCGTAGTGAAGAAAGGGATGAGCGCTGTGTGGCGGGGAAAAGGCGGCAAAACAAAATCGCATGATTAAAAACCGTTTCATAAAGTGGCGAAAGAAGGGCGGCGGCGCGCGTTGTGCGTGTACCGAGTGCGGATGATGTAGGAAAAATTGTTTGCACCGGCTGCCACCGTCATCGTGTCAGGTGGTGGGCCGCGAAGAAAGCGGGTGCAACAGAAGTAATTTAAGCCGCCGAGAGAAAATGACGCGAGGCAAACGAGGGTGGTGAACAAAAAAAAAAAAAAAAACAGAAAAAAACATAAAAAACAGATCCAATGGAAAATTCGAGGAGAGGGACAGAGAGGACACGAAACAAAGTGCGCGGAGAGCAAAAAGATGCTTGGCTTTAATGCGCCGAGAAGCTAAAAATGAATCTGTACGAGTAGGGTGGAAGCAAATAAACTGCGTGCGCCCAACATGATAACGGCGGCTGGCCCCTTGTTATAATCGGACCTTAACGACTTCGGTAAAAAAAAAAAAAAAAAAACTAAAAAAAAAACAAAACACCGCGCACAACAAATCTTTTGACGTTGTTTTGCCGTGTATTGTTGCTCTTTTATATTATTTTTTTATCCCCTCGTTTGCGCCTTGTGTTTTTTTCCCCGTACACGCGTATACGATATTGTACGGGTGCGCAACAAACACCACTTGTAAGAATAAATACAATTTAAAAAATAACCTAAAAAAATATACTTATATATTATATATATATATACATACATATCACAAACAACTAGACAACATTATTTACACGAGTACGTCGAACGCCGGTTACAATAACAAAATATTACAAGTCACAATGTACAGTCGATAGGTCTAAGTATTGTATACTATACAATATAATATACGTATATAGTGTACAAACGACATCCCAAGTGGTATGTCGGTCAGCGTTCAAGGAAACGGCACGGTTTTAACGTTCGAACTAGACTAATTCCGCTTCGGTTTGCGTCGGCTTATTCATGAAAAACTGTTCGATTTCCGAAAAGGTCCGGTTTTCTGTCTCGGGCAGGTACTTGTACAGGTAGACGAACCCGAATGACGCAAAGACGGCGGACGTGAACAAGACGTTGCTCAGTCCCATAGCCATTTCCACGGTCAAGTACAGCTTAGTCGTGCCGAAAGTCATCAGGTAGAATATAGCGGTGGACATGCCGGCGGCAAACCCTTTGGCTCTGTTTCGGAATCAAAAAACCACCGATAAGACACCCCAAGACATGTTAACAGCGATAAACCTTACTCGTTGGGATAGACTTCGCCGAGCAGTGTCCACGGCAAGCTCATGGGGCCCAGAGATCCGCTGAACAGCACTACGCAATAGGCGATGATCGGTATGTATCCCACTGGTTCCATCCATCCGTACTTGACGGCCATCGTGGAAGCCCCGTACGCGAACACCACGACCGTGTTTAGGCCGATCGTAACTAAGGTCAACAATCTTTTGCCGTACTTGGGAACCGCGTAGAGGATGAGTAGACTGCCGGCGACCTGAACCCATCCGAACAACACCTGACACACGCACGAACAATAGATTATTACTGTCACCATTGATTTGTAAATATACAGATGGATGGTGCTGTACACAAAAACGGCGGCCGGGTTTATGCGGGATTCCCGCCGTCAACAGAGGTGCTCTCGTCATAGTTTACCATCCGCCCGTCCGAGAACTATGACGAGGGTACCTCTGTGGACGGCGGGAATCCCACATAAGATCGGTGGTAGTTTTTGTGTACAGCACCGTTCATCCGTATATTTTTAAAATACTTCAATTTTTCCACTGAAAGAAAGACATAGGATCATGAGCAGCTGGATTACGGTCACCCGATTTTCTGTTTCTCGTCACTTTTACAGGAATTATTGATTTTCCCTTATCACCGTTCCCTCCTATCTCCTCTTTTAACCTCCCGTCCTGGTGGTGACAAAAGTGTTTCAGAGCCGAGTCGTGGAAAAGATGCGCGTGACTTTTTTTTTACTTACCAAAAACAAGCCATGATCCGCGTTCAATCCCATCTCCCGGATCATGTCGACCAAGTAGGGTCGGCTAGGCATTAGACAACAGATCAGAGTGGAGAAATAGTAAATCGTGACCAACACCATCGGCCGATACACCAACGGGTTCTTTATCCATCTGAGGCGCAAGGCGAGTCCGTTTTCTTTTTTGCCGGCCTTGTCTCGATTGCTGGACGAGTAGTAGCACAACATCTCCCGGTACTCGTCGTTGACCACGTGCGGTTTGACCCAACCGCGAAACCAGCAAACACTGTCCAACGCCGTGTCGTATTTGCCTTTGGACATCAGCCACGCCGGAGATTCGGGTATCTGTCGTCAGAACGAGTATGTCGATTTCATTCAATTTTCAAATTGTATGACCCCCCTCCCCGACTCGGACTACCATAGACTTACAAAGGCCACCATCAGCAGCGATAGCACGGGACATAACGTGGCTATCTTGGCCATGTCGGTCCAGTGATAATAAACGCTCAACAAGTACACCGACATCGTTCCGATCACGCAAGCCAAGTTGATCACCGAGGACATGACGCCCCGGAATTTAGGTTCGGTAATCTCGCCTATGTAAGAATACGACGGACCGTCGTTGAATCCAACTCCCATGCCCATAACAAAAGTGGCAGCGTACAGCAGAGGTATAGAGGTGGCTTTTTGCAGTAGAATCCAGCCGATGATTGCTGGCATGCAAGCGATTATCATACAGCTCCTCCTGCCACAACGGTCCTGCAAGTATCCAGATAAAAAACTACCGACCGGCTGGCACAAATACAGTATACTACCTGCAAACAAGCAACAGATATAGGGTTTAGAGTTAAAATGTGACACGGTAAATAGGACGCCACACTAAAAGACCCAATATAGTACTTTCGACGATAACGGTATACAATATAGCGTTTGGGAAATCATAAACTTAAACTGTGTACTGTTGGAAACAGATTTTCGAAAACAAAATATATTACCATCTTTCCCACGAAGGAAAAACATTGTACTATGAACAATGTGTATCGTATATGTCTTATCCCTTCAGTTCTAGCACACTGTTACATTTAGAGTATCTGTAATCAGGCTATGAATTGATTCACTTATCAATCATTTCTTATCAGTTAACTTAAGATTATCGATTTCCCTATATCACCATTCTATCCCCACCCCTGATTGTGACGAAATCGTTCTAAAGTCATGAAAATTGTCGGCATATCTCCATACACAAGACATGGACATGTCAAAAAAAGAAAAGAAAGATATATACGCTGTATCATGGGAGAACGACACTGCGCAGAAACCAAAACGCGTTATTCCTGTTTACTTTTGTCTGCGCAGGCGTATACGAGAATAATGCTTTTTTTGGTTTCTGCGCAGTACTGTACTCTCGTTGGACACATTTTATTGCTGATTTTAACAACTGGACCATCAGTAAGTACGGTGATTCGTTTATAATAGTTATTATACAAAACAATATCATAGTTGAAGGTTTAAAAAAAAATAATCCAGGTCGTAAAAGCGCTGATGTCTTTTTTTCATAATATAATAACAGCAGAATACTCCTATCGAGTACTTATATATATATATATATGATAGATAAATAATGCATTATCGCTGTTTAAATATTGTTTTTATACTTTGCCAATGATAATTATAAAACTATTCGACCAATTATAAAAAACCAACCCATATTAAATACACGAAGTCATATTGATATAAGCTGTATAATTTATGTAGGTACGTTTTGTTTGGGTCAAAATAGGCCAATCTAACTTTTTTGTATAATTTTCGGGGAAAATGCGCTTTAAAGTTTTAATTTTCTGCGGTAACTGGTAATATTATTTAGGTAAAACTCATTATAACTTTTTGCTCTAACAGTGTATTGCATATTTTATACATCACTTACCGTACCAGGACGACTGAGATTCGGATATGGTAAATTGAGCTAATGGGTTGTTATATAAGTCACCAATAACGATTGTGGGAAACGTCAGTTGCATTCCCAAACCGATCAAAAGTAACGCCGGCACTGACGTGGCTATGACCTGCACACAAGTATATATAGTAATATATTACACCTGTAAGATGCTGAGGAGGGTAAATGTGCAAATGTTGAAGGTACAAATCCAAATATAAATATTTTTTTACCTGAGCAAGAAGTGACCTCCAGCCATAGTTTTTGATTTTTTCTTCTTCGTCTGCATGGCCTGAAAACATAAAAACCATTTGAGTGTTGAATATTTTGCACTATTTAACTGCATGTATAATATGTTCCTGACCATAAATCATACCTTGGTCATTAATACGTTGGATTTCGCTAACAGTCGAACTTCGCGATAATTGGCCCATTTTTCCCCTTTCGTTTTAGTCTTAGCTAGTCATGAGAAATTGAATACTGAGTAGTGCCTAAAGCGTAAACATAGCGTCCTAGACGAACAAAATAAACATTCATTTGTTTTATCATTATGCAATAATGACTTATGAGCAATAAGGAGATAACATAGACGATGTGTTACGCCAAACGCTGTGTGATAATACAGAATACTAAATATTAAGGTAGGGACGTAAGTGTATGATTTTTTTTATTTGATATAATTTCATCCAGGAACAACTATAAATCGTAATCATAACTCGATGATCGTATACTTCAGTATTAATGTGAATACCGTAGGAAGCCAAGCAGAGTAAGTCATGATAATATGCTATCAAATCGCGTTCTTCCGTTTTATTATAGGTTTCAGATTTAACGCAATTTATCTAATTTCTGTGTTGTTTGCTGTTGTAATAAGTATCAATACTGAAATACAAAATTGATGAAATTAAACTGCAAAAACTTATTAAATCATTAAAGAAATTGGAAAAAAGTAGACCGTGATAACGAGGTATTATCTACTATTAGGATAAAATGCTACACAACGTTAAAAATAGAGTTATTACAGGAGAACTGGATATTCTCAAAAATATGTAGAACAACTTAATGCGTAAAACAAAAGAAATAAACATGACAGCTAAACTTCTTACTTCATATAAAAGAACAATATTTGTAAAAGTTAACGCAGTGAGGAACGAGAAAAAATATTAAATCTAAAGAGGAAGGATGGCAAATTATCAAAATAAAATCTTAAAGAGACATAGATAAACAGTAAACTATAAATCAGTCATCAGACATTTTTACACAATATATATGTAATTATATGACAGTTGATTTTAGTCATTATTTGAGTACATTAGACTTTTACATTAGTGATTAAACTATTTTTATCATTGTGTTCTATATTACTACTATTAATTGTATTTTATTGTTACTTAAGTTAACAATGGCTTTGTAATTAAATCGTGGCTAAACAAAATATTCGCAAAAACACACTTTATCAGCAATAATGTACGATTAGTAATGTTGTCAATACACACAATTTATGAATTATTAGCTGATAACACGACCACATCCGTTAGATCTATTATTATAGAAGATACACATTATATAATTGAAAAATTTAACAACAGTTTAAACTTATTACATACCGATATCAGAAACGAATGGAAACACAGTAAAGATATGGATTGCCTACAAAAGATTGAGTGACTAATATATTTGAATAACATAATTTGTTATTCAGTTTTTTTTAATTCTCACATATTCCACTTCTCAAGCGTTATCACTTAGCACGTTTAATAGTAATTGATACATTTCAATGAGTTTCTTTTTTTCTAAATAGTTTTTGTTCGTTTGAGCTATCCTTTTGTTGAAAATTTCATTGAAGTTTCAGAGTAAAACTTAAGAAAAATAGTCGCTTTTCTTTACTTTCTTTAAAGCATTCTGTTTTTGTGTAGACCAAAAATGTAGTACGGTTGAGTGTTCCTACAATGCACACACATTCGGTGACCGCAATGTGTTTTTATATATTGATCTCGTCCTAACGTTAAGCGTTGTTAAACGGTTCTCGTTATCATCATTCTGGCAATAATTAAAAGGCCGACGGACGAAACGGCCCCGGAGCGCGTTCAACTCGGCCGTCTCACTTAAATTAAATGAAAATCCCTCAACGCTCCTTATTAATTATACCGGTTATGCGCCCTCTCGCTACTTCCATTTTAATTTATGAGCCACCTCTTATTCTCCTCTTACCGGCAAAACATTCTGTCGGCGAACTCGGCCCGATACGCAGGTAAAACCGACTTTTGAGTTTTGGAGTAAATTAATTCGCAACAACCGAGAGGACCCTCTTCATTTTAGCGATAAATTTCAATGCGAAATGCTAAAAAAAAAAAAAAAAAAAAAAACCAACAAATACTTATACACGAGTTGCAATATCGTTACCGATGAAAACGCAAAAGCAAATTTTTAGTAAAAAAAAAAGATTGTCGTTAACCCTTCCCTCTTGTGGATCAAGGCACTAACACCGGTGTACAACTTTTTACCAAAGCGTTTCGCAGGCATCACAAGAGACTCTTCGAGAAAGACCGTGTATGTGTATTTGATTTTATTCCAAGTCTATCGAAACTATCGCGCGATTAACGGTCGAATTACTATTAATTAGATTTAGGCGTGTAATTTTATTTACACACCACATATTATTAATATGTTCGTTACTTACGGTTTTTGTCCGAACCATTTGTGACAGCAAAAAACTCCATGTTTCCTCATGGAACCACACTACACGACTAAAGATTAGTGTATGAACTATAATAGTTTAAAACCGTTTTAGTCTGGGCTATCGGCTATTGTTGAAATTGAAATGTTTATTGGCGGCGACAGTATGAAACCGCGATTGACTTGCATAGAATCCATTATACATTTTTTTTAGTCAGCTGCTGCTGCCGCGTTTATCGTACAAGTCGATCGTTATCATTGTATGACAGTATAGCAGTGCGGTACATACGTTACTATTACCGCATATTATAAATAATAATAGCTGGTACAGACTCGCCGCCGTGTTGCCATGTAAGGCCTGTAATCGATGATGATGATAACAATTATAATCCGGGGTCGACCGATAGTGGATGGACGTGTAAATGTCACCGCCAATTAAGTTATTCGCGATTTGGAGAACATCGATAACCCGAATTTAATATCATTAATGCAGCCGGTCATTAGACCGCACGTTTTTTTTCCTTACACAAGCCCACCTCGTTTTATTTCTTCTTGTTCCCATCTTGTCACACACCTGACTGGCTGCTAGTTAGTCAGGATACTTTCTAGAGAGGAGAAAAATCCTAAATGGATAACGACCATTTAAAAATGGCCCAGAACTAATGTAGTCCATATTAAAGTATAGTTCGTTTCAAATAGGTCTAACACACACAAAAGCCTACTCATCGAAGGTCCAACACACACACACACACACAAATGCCTAATAATACAACAAAGTATATCACACCCTGTCACAATAAATTACAAGTAACAACCTAAAAATACATCTAGCTACATTAATTCGCTTCTACAGAACTATGTAGTTGATAAAGCACGCAGAGAAAGTGTCTCGATTCTTATACCTTCACGGACATTTAATAATTTCACTCAGTCCATCTGGAGGCATACTATTAACAAAGGACTCAACCGCCTGTTCTTAGACATTGAAAATCTGACAATAAAACTTTTAAAAAAAATGTACGGACTACATTTTTTACTCCTTAATGGTTTGAACCTTGTGTGGAATCTGTTTTTGTTTATAAAGATAAATTGGACTTAGCCATATAGGTACGTATACTCGTAGAAGCAACATACATAATACACGGATAACTGAACATCTAACAAGAGGTAGAAGAAGAACTCTTTAGAATGTATATAGCCTTGTGATTGGTCACAACTATTTTAAGTTTCCGCAGCAACAAGAGAGGTCTTCTCTAGCTCGTTGCCTAATAACTATTAACTTTGTAATTCAAAATACACTATAATTTTTAGCATACTGATTTATATGAGATTAATAAAAATAAAATACAAATTGTAAAATGTTATTTAAAAAAGCCAGTACAGTGGGGTCGGGGCGTAGTGGGGATGGGGTGGTCACAGATCTATAGGGATTATTATAACTAAAAGTGATAAAATCACTTTCAAATAAACGCTTCGAGGCGAATCTTTGGTTAGTACGTTCAAACCAGTACAGTCCAAACCAAGCACAGTAAGAAAGTGTTAAAGTGAGGTCCGGTGTCCACAGATTAGCATCAAAGCGTTTATACGAAAGTGATTTTAAATAATAATTTTAAATAATTTCTTTAGACCTGTTACCGCTACGTTCCCACTATGCCCTCTGTACTGGCTTCTACTTTATTAACTATTTTTAAAAAATCCTAGTTGCGTGATAAATAATATGCTTTTAATGCACCTGTCACTAACGTGGTGTTTACATATTGCGTACACGTGCCGAACTTTTTAATCTATTGTTAAATACCGAAAATATCGTCCAACGGCAAGTGTTCGAATCAAGACTAATATTTAAAAATTTTTTATTTAATTCTCATGTCTGACATATTTCAATTACTTTAACATTATTAATACGTTTTTAATGTAAATAAAACGTTTGATATTTAAATAATCTATTTTAGGTTACAATATGTACCTGGTTACATAGTATATGTATATATTCAGGCATTCTAGTTTTCGGTATAGATTACACGGGTAGTACATTTTCAATCTAATTGTAAATCTAAATAACTCTAAACTACTATTTACAATGTATAATCATTTTATAGTTTCAATTTTAATTGCTTTTGTCGTTAGAAACGTGCAAAATGGGACGAGGGTACGGGCCACGACTCAGCCTTTTCTGGTGCCGCTGACACCAAAGCAGGTCGAACTGATGGACGGTGTTTGTAAAAAACATCATTGGCCCAGTTTGTGGTTTAGCTCAGTCAAAGACGGAGCAGATTGGACGGATGCGGCACAATTAGTCGATAGGAATTGCAGACCCGGGTCATGGAAGAAGCTGCGCCTGATACCTCAGATGATGGGATGCGACTATGGTGTAAAATTTTATTGGTTTCTCTCGTTGGCAATCTATGCCTTTGACGAGTGTAACCGTTTGTCGCAAAACGACGACGACAACACTAGACATTGTTGGAACAAACTCGCGGTAGTTCTCCAGGGAGGTGCGTACACAATGTTAGAGGTGATGCGCTCGTTGGGCTACGCCCATTCCACAGTCGGTGACAATATTGATTTAGATGTATTTTACCAAAATATAAGGACGATCCGAAATTTCCTCTGTGCCGTCGTAATACCGCCAGAAGTCCATGATTACGTCGAGCAGATAGACAACCTTAATGAAACCTTGACGACCTTTTTGACTTCCCTCTGTCGTCCAGAGTACCCGCGGTTGAATATGGCCGAGTTAATGATTAACTTTATAAGGCGATTCCCCAAAGCTAACAGTTACGATTTTTATGTGTACACAATGAACTATTACATGGACTACATAAGCATTCATTTGTCGAACATGGGTTTCCGTTATAACGTGGATACGGACCAAACTACCTTTCTTTAGCCATTGTAGCTATCAAACGGTATTTTAGCTTACAGTTCATTCGTACCTATAATAAACATAGATGTTGCAGCAATAATACATTACCGTAGTCTCGGCGTTACAGGCGGATTGTGTAGTTTATAAAGATTTTATTTTATACAAAAAAATAATATCCAATTAATAGATTTAATAATAATTCTCGCGATTATATTATAACTTATAAAACTATATAATATATATACAACTAATTATTTCGAATAGAAATTTAAATGATTTAATAAAAGTAAAAAAAAAACGTGTTATTATATAAACTGTGTTTTAATTTTGATGAAATAAAGCCTTTGGAATATGATACCTATATTCATGTACATATGATAACTGTATTTTTTCCCCTGGGTTTTGAGTTATAATAGTACCGCTAGATCGGTTATCTGTACACTGTATGTATAAAGAAATTCGTTTTAATGTCGAATAATTTTGTGCTATCGCGAAGTACTCAGTAAGACATTTTATACTTTAAACCCTAAAACTTTAACCAAACAAAGTTCCCCTACTAGGGGAAAGGGTTATGATATTTGTTTGGGTTGTCGACGTTTATCGGTAGTACTACGAGTATGTCTTAAGGATATTCTATACAAATTGTTAAAATTGAATTACAGAATAAAATATTCCTGTAAAATATAAAAACTAGGAAAAAATGGCATATTGTTGCTGCTCAAAGACTATGTTAAAGATTATTTGAAAAGAGAAAAGGGATTTCCTTTAGTTAGTACTATCAAACGGGCCCCAAATTGTAACCGTGCACTAGGCCCTAATTTCAACAAATCATGCTTTGATCGTGACGTTAAACCTCTCGAACTGATGACGTAGTAGATAATACCGTAATATAGTATTTAATACACGGGCTTACACCTTAAGTAAACTTCTAAGCACGGTTTTTGACATGCCACAGACGAATTACTACGACGGGGTTAGAAATGTCGGAATTTCGGTACAAGTCAAATCTCGATCGCTAAACGCGACGGAGACCACCTGTTGGTATTTTTTTTTTTCGTTTCTTGTGTGTAAAGTGAGGTGGGACGCCGTCGACATCGGCCCGTAGGTTTACAAATAATCTGCCAGTTTCACGGCAACAATCTTGATATTATTTTTTTTTTTTTTACAAGCACTTTAACTGTATCGGTTGAAGGGTTATATCGCCTATATAATATCGCATCTACGCCCACCGACGACAAATAAGTCATCAGCGAGTGACTCGATCCCTGGTCCGCGACGTGTAGAAGCTAACAAAAGCTATCATATTATATTACTATATATATATATATTTTAATATGACTATAATAGACATTGTCTATACTATTGTGTACACCGTTCACACGGGCAGAGTGCGGGCGTTTTCTATATTATGTTGTGTAACATTTTATAACAGTTTCTACACACACACATCCGGGGGAGACGTTATGATATCCACGAAATCCGATTACGTTTTGGTGTTTCGGTGACAGCGGCTCTTTTAACGTCAGCGTTGGTTTTTTTAATCCCGTCATTGACATGTGCCGACCGACCGGCAAGCTTAGATACTAGATTTTAGTTATAGGTATTTATATTTGTTATATATATATATATATGTATGCAATATGACTCGAACAAGACTGCTGCCGTTGCCGTGACAATTGAAACGGACACGTGTGTGCACACCGTGTTCGTGTCATGGCAACTGGACGACCGCTTACACTTCGCCGTCAGATTAACTCAATCCGGTCATCTCACGGACCGCCGGGGGCTTGCCCCAGCTCGTGCCCTCCCTTATTCCGTCTGTTATAATGATACTGGTATACATGTACCTATACATATATATACGTACAATGTGTGTTTTATACATATATTAGAATGTTCTCGGTCTCGGCAATGGATCGGCGTGATATACACCCCGCTATGCGCAGTAGTCGCCGTTTTGTGGTCACGGTACAGCAACAGCCGCACCTGGTTATCTTATGACGTACGAGTAATAAAAAAAATAAAATATTTAAAACCACCTTTCGCCGCAAAAATGTAATATACCGACATTTCATTAGCAGCGCGTTAAAAGGGATTGAAAGCGGCACGTTAGTTGAACGAAGACCAGACCAAAAAAACCTGACAAAACGTTGACTACTCGATGGTGGTCCGATTTCGATTCTGGATTTTTTACATTTATTTATGTAAAAAAATTGCTATTTAATATTGAAAATTTACTTGATTACAAAAAAAAAAAAAGCTCGAAGCTTATAAAAATTAATATAATAATTCAATACACGATTTATTTAATTAAACGGAATAAATATAAAACAATATTGTTATTTGTTACTGCCTTCTGTGTTATTCTTTATTGTAAAACCGCATTGTAGGGTATTGCGATTTGTAT